TCCAGCTAGATGGAGCACGAGCAGCTTCTCTTCTCCTATCAAACCCCCCTCTCATGGGCAGTACCCCTCATGCTGAGAGGAGGGGGGATTACCAGTGTCAGCTGGTGGCCTTGGGGTCTCAGGCCCCTGTTAAGAAGCAGGACCACCATATCTGTCTAGAGATGATTAAAGGAGGGGTTCCTGGGGAGATTACGCTGGGATTTGTGAGGTGGGTGACAGAAACAGCCATTCGTTTCTCTCTCGTTCCTTGGCATATGGTAGGAGGAGAGGAATGGGCTGGCTGTGCAGTCATTCCCTGGGCTGCTGCTTCCACGGGCTGGTGGAGAGGCTGGCTGGCAGCACTGTGGGCAGGCACACGGCTTCCAGGCCTGGAGCTCCGGGGAGCGGGGCAGAGGCTGCATTCTGGGAAGCCCCGGGGCTCTGATCTCCCATCTCTCCTCTCCCCACTGCAGTGCACACAGGAAGACGTGTCTTCAGAGGATGAAGACGAGGAGATGCCTGAGGTAGGCTTGCTACCTGAGGCAGCACTGGCGGGAAGGCCTGTCAGTCCGCAGCACTGAGCACCCCCCTGTACAGAGCTTTGGTCCAGAACTAGGGAGGGAGAGGACAATGCCACAGGAATAATGACAGTTTATTGACCTGGAGGAACAGCCAGTGTAACAGAGGAGACAGGGCACCCACATCCAACCACTGAAGACAGTCAGGTGTAACTCTGTCTGCACCAAAGAGCAACAGGTTAATTTGCGATGGCTTTGGAGTCAGACCACAGCTTGCATCCTGTACCTCCTAGCTGTCTTAATTGGGGAGTTTTACCTACTCTCACTGAGCTGCAGTTTCCTTTTATACAACGGGATTAGAATATCTACTTTATACGGCTGTCTTGAAGGTTAAATGAGGCATTGCACGTGAAATGCTTCATACTGGACACGGTAAGTGCTAGGTGATTTATCCGATCCACTCCCTGAAAACATACTTCTGCAGAATACAGCAATGATTAAGAATCTGAGCGTCAGAGCCAGACAGAATTTGATCACCTTTTAGCTCCGCTAAGACTTGGATGACTTTGGGCCTGAGAATTGGCCTCACCAGACCTCAGCTTCCTCCTCGCATCTGTAAAATGGGCACAGTGGTCACAGCGGGGAGGCTGAAGAGTTAAATGAGCTGGTGTGTGCGCCGTACCTGACACAGAGTAAACCTCCAGGAGGTGTCGGCGGCTAATGTGATACTTAGGGGGTTAGTGTTACCACGGCCTGCCAGAGCCAGGAAGTCAATCTGATCACTTTGTTTCCTAGCATTGGATTAATGTCCCCGCTTATGCAGCTTTGTTAGGGTCTTAAGATACAGAGGACCGGCGATATGTGACGCTCACCTCACTTCCCCTCTGACGGTGGAAGCCACCCCTCCAGCCCACCCCTCCAGCGTCTGACCGGGCCTGGCTGCGGGCTCCTCCCCAGGCACTTAGGGGGGAGGGGCTGACTGTGTACTTGACCTCTCCCATCTCCCACTCGCGTCTGCACAATGGCTGCCTCCGTATACCCGACCGAGGCCCTGTGGCCGGTGGGCAGATTTCTGACCCGGTTTCTCCCTCGGGCCTGTAGGCCTGGGAACTTCTGGGTGCAATAGTCACCTGGTGAAACATGAGCTTGGAGTCGCAGTGTCAGGCCAAAGTCATTCTAGGAATTAAGAGTTTCTGCTGCCAAGGGAGAGTGTGAGGGACGGTTGGCGCAGGGTCGGTCTGGGGAGCACGAGGGCCGAGCCCCTGCTGACTTTTCCAAGTCCTTCCGCAGTTCTGCTGGAGAGCTGGACAGAAGGAGCGTTAGCTTTGTCTTTGAGATTGTGAGGGGCAGACTGGGAGTTGTTCCAGAGACTGAAAGGGTGCTGTGCTCATTAGCTGCCATAGACCACCGCTCCTGAGCTGCGGCCCTGGGAGGCGACGGCCCTTCTCCACAACCTGTGTTGGTTTCTTTCCTCCTCTGTCCCACTCCCACCCCACGGCTCCCCCAGGACACAGAAGACCTAGATCACTATGAAATGAAAGAAGAAGAGCCAGCTGAGGGCAAGAAATCGGAAGATGATGGCATTGGGAAAGAAAACTTGGCCATACTAGAGAAAATTAAAAAGAACCAGAGGCAAGATTACTTAAATGTACGTACCTTCCCGGGAGAGGCTGGGCCCACGGCTTGGTGGGGACTGGCTGGGAGGCGGGAGGCCAGCCCGCATCCGTCTGGGGAGCGGACGCCTTTTTGGGTGGGTCATGGGCGTTCCTGATCTTTGCCTAAACGCTGAGCAAGCTGCCAGACTGCCCCTTAGGTCTCGAACGCGTGTTTCCACACCACGTGACCGTGACACGGTTCTGGCCTCCTTTGCAGGGGGCGGTGTCTGGCTCAGTCCAGGCCACTGACCGGCTGATGAAGGAGCTCAGGGACATATACCGGTCACAGAGCTTCAAAGGCGGTGAGTCTGCCTCGGAGGGGCTTGAGCGGGAGTTTTGCACAGAGGACATGATGATGGCCAGGGGACCCACGAGGCTGGGGACACCAAAGCTTCCAGACGGCTCAGGCCAGAATGGACCCTCCCCGAGCCCGTGGCTCAGATGGCTGCCTGTCCGTCAGGCCTGAACCTGGAGCCTTTGAGGTTTTCCTCTCAGCCTGGGGGGTCTGCATCGGGGGCCACCCATCCCCTGGAGTGTCCTAATGACACCTGTCCTCTTCCTGCCTTCCAGGAAACTATGCAGTCGAACTCGTGAATGACAGTCTGTATGATTGGAACGTCAAACTCCTCAAGTGAGTGGGGACTCGGGCTGGACAGGAAGCTGGGGCGTAGTGGGGGTGAGGCCCCTGTGCCAGGAGTCTCAGGGCAGTTCCAGGAGCGGTGTGGGCATGGGCTGTCCTCGGCCGCTGGCCTGGGGGAGCGGGAGCCGGCACGAGGCTCCTGAGCTGGGACAGGAGTCTGAGCCCAGACCCGTTCTTCATAGAGTTGACCAGGATAGCGCTTTGCACAACGATCTCCAAATCCTCAAAGAGAAAGAAGGCGCTGACTTCATCCTCCTAAACTTCTCCTTTAAGGTGAGACTGTTGCCCATCCCACCCCACCCCCACCCCCTTGGCCGAGGCTGCAGTCTCCGCCTGCCAGCCCATGGAGGCCACCAGCCAACCCCCCTGACCGGTGCCTCTCTCTCTCTCTCTCTCAGGACAACTTTCCTTTCGACCCTCCGTTTGTCAGGGTTGTGTCTCCAGTCCTCTCCGGAGGGTGAGTGGCTCGGCAAGGGCGGCAGCAGCTCCTGTTACCGAGGGTGAGGAAGGGGTGGAGCTTTGGCTAGGCGCAACTGACTAACCTTTCTTCTGCAGGTATGTTCTGGGCGGAGGTGCCATCTGCATGGAACTTCTCACCAAACAGGTGAGCCTGTCTCTTGCACCTGCTGGGTGCCGGGCATGCTGTGGCCTTCGATTCTGCGGGGTGGGACCTGTACCCACTGACCGACCTGGGGGTGAGGGGCAAGGGCTCCGTGCCGGAGAAGCAGCAGGGCTTGTGGGGACGCTCTGACTGACTGCTTTGTCTCCGTCCCCAGGGCTGGAGCAGTGCCTACTCCATAGAGTCCGTGATCATGCAGATCAGCGCCACCCTGGTTAAGGGGAAGGCACGGGTGCAGTTCGGAGCCAACAAAGTGAGGGGCCGGGGCTGCCGGGCCACGTATCCGAGCCACCAGCAGGCCAAGGCTGCCCTCTCTCAGGGACCGAGAGGAGGAGGCCTCTGGGCTGGGGGCCTTGGATGAGGGGGCCTGGGACACCCACAGTGGGAACAGGGACCAGGCCGCAGCCTGATGGGCATCCTAAGACTCTGGGGAGGGAAGGCCATGGGACTGCGCCCCAGAGGAACCTCCAGGTGGAGGGTAGTCTGTTCACAGCCACAGGTTGGGAGCCAGGCTCCTGGGTTGCTGGGTGGCAGCTTGTATCAGGCGGGGGACAGTGTGGCCTGATCTGGTGGCTTCCCTTCCCAGTCTCAGTACAGTCTGACAAGAGCACAGCAGTCCTACAAGTCCTTGGTGCAGATCCACGAAAAAAACGGTGAGGCTGGAGCCAGGATGGGATGTTCGGACGCCTGCCCAGCCCGAGGTTTCGCTTCCAGCCCCATAGCGTGAACCCTTTGGTTTGTGGGCCTTTGCTGGCCAGCAGGAGGGCACCCACTGGTCCTCCAGAGAAGGGCTGCGGTGCTCCCACCTCAGCCTCTTCTCCCAGAAAAGCACAGCGAGCGCACCACCTGTAGACTCGGTGCTGCCCCTCTCCCACCACCCTGTCCCCTCAGGTTGGGCACAGCCTTCTCCCCTTCCCTAAGACCTCGGCTGCCCGTTCGCCTCTCTCCACACACTGGGAAGCCCCACGTAGGCTTGGTCCTCCTAACCGTGGAGACGTCTTCAGTGATGGGGCCGCGAGGGGGACTCCAGCTTCCAGCTCACTGTTTCCTGGGGTTTCTTTGCAGGCTGGTACACACCCCCAAAGGAAGATGGCTAACCCCGGAGTGTCGTCCCTCCCTCCTTCCCCAGGCACCACTGGACCAATTACCTTTGAATGCTGTATTTGGATCTCACGCTGCCTCTGTGGTTCCCTCCCTCGTTTTTCCTGGACGTGATAGCTCTGCGTATTGCAGGACAATGATGGCTATTCTAAACGCTAAGGAAAAAACACACAGAACTGTTTCACGTACTCAAGACTGACTTAACAGACCAACCAACCACCTGGCTGGAACCCTTGCTAGCAGGCATTCTTATCAAAGAAACTTTCGAGCCTCCTTACATTGCTGGAAACTCAGCTGTGCTCCAGACTAGAGCCTCCTTACCTATGCTATGGATTTTTAATTTATTTTCTCTTATTTCATGTACACTGCTTTTTTTGGTTACAGTGTATGATGGATGTGTATGAAAAAAAAATGTATCTTTGGGAAAACAATTACAGTTTGTTAATTTGAAGATGGTGGTCTTGACTCATCTTTATTTTTATTCCCACGTCCCACCCCACCCCCATCCCCTGAACTACTTGGGGTGGGGGCGGGGTGCCGAGTCCTCTGCAGCCTCAGGAGAGACAGGCTGCCCTTCGACGCTGAAGCCAGAGGAAGGTGGAGCCGAAGCGCACGCCTGGCCCGGCCGCCCTGATTGCTTCTGAGGCCTCTGGACCGACCGGCCCTTGTCCCCTGGAATGCAGAGCCCGCCCTGCCGAGCCGCAGTGTAGCCGGCTGAAAGGATGACCTTAACGCTTAGCACCACTCTCCCAGTCACAGATGTTTCCAATGCCTAAGAAAAAGGAAATGAGGAAGGATGCTTCAGAGGCTGTCTCCCAGCACTGCTGTGAAACGGATGGCGTGGGGACGGAGGCAGTCCCGGGCGTGCCCGTGGCCTCCGGTCTCAGCGCCACGCCGCATGGCTGCCACAGCGGCAGGGTCGTCGGGCCCCCTCCCTCTGAGTGGCTTCGCTGGCACCGCAGGGTCTCTGCTGACCTTCCAGGCTCCTGCTTCACTCGGGCTTGTCGGAGAAAACAGGCACAGCCGTGAAGGAAGTTTTCTGGCAAATTGTGGATTCTCTGAAGCCACTCCCATAAACCGGGTCCTCTGGAAAGGTTAGCTCGAGGGGCAGGCGGTACACGTCAGTGTCCTCCCCCCAGGCTCTGGGAGCTGCTGGGAGGGGACAGCTGAGCTAGACCTGTCGGTGCTGTGTTGTCTGTACATGCCGCCTAAAAATGTCAGTCTGGGCGTGCCGTCTGGGTGGCACGTGCTCCCACCTCCCTGGTCAGGCCTAATGTGGGGCTGACGCAGCCTCTTAGGACAGAGGATGCCTACAGAGGGGGTGACTGCAATGGCAGGCCAGCGATGGCTAAGCGGAGACGCTGATCGTAGAAAGCCCCGACTCGGGACAGCTGCCTGGGAACCGAGAGGATGACGGAGCTGAGCTGGAACGCTTTCTGTTAACAGGGGTCATTTCCCTCGCTGTCTTTCAAGGGACTGTCTTGTTGCTTCAGGTGGATGGACTGTTCAATCTCCTCAGTGCTGCTGTAACTCCCCACACCCGCCTGATACGGGGTGCTAATATATGCTGAGGTCAGGTAAAACGGGGACCCGAGGGCAAAACTCGTGCCAGGGCGCTGAGATCTGCTTTTCAAGGCCTCCGTTGCTCTCTTCTGAGCCTATCACCAGCCCTGGCGGAAACGTAGCTTGTGTTTTTAGTAACGTGTACTGTGAGCTGTCCTCTGTATAATGTATTTTGTAATGTATTTTTCTCATCTACCAAAGGATGAAACAAATAAAAGTTATTTAAATAGTTTGGCTCCAATAAAATTATTTAAAGGAATAATGGGGTCCACATTCCCCTGACATAAAGGGACTTCACCATCACCTCTCAGAAGGGACAGGAACTTCCTCCACTTTTCCTGTCAAACCTAATGCTCTCTTTTATGACCTTAAGTATAGGGTTCAAATGACATTACAAGTCATAAAATTAAAAAGAAGAAAGAATCAAAGCCATACCATCCTGAATCAATTTCCTTCCCTCCACTAAGAAGACAAGAAGAAATGAAACAAGCTCTTTCGGGGCGGGACCCTACCCCTCAAGGGTGCATCTGTGGCCCAGGCAGGGTTGGCCGGCCCAGAGCCCACGCGAGTCCAATGAGCACCCAAGGCACACAGCAGCCTCCCCATGGCTGGAGGGGCACGGCTGGGGTGGGGACGGAGGGGCTAGACAGCAGTCCATCACCCCAAAATCATACAACGTGCCGACATTGACATTCACCACAGTGCTGGCTCGCGGTCAAATGCTCCCCACCTGATTCTATAATGGAATGCAGAAAAATGAAACGGCGGGCCCCCCCCTTCCCCAGCATATCTCAGGGCAACTGATATGCTCTTGGGGGTGCAAAGAAGAGATAGGAGGGGAATACACAGCCGCCTGAGGCTTTCGACCTCATGAGAGCTGCCTGTGTTTGGTTCATGATGAGTAGGGAGCTGGAGACACCTGACAAATTGAGACTTCACTCTGAGAGGTGAGCTAAGGGGAAAAGCCAAGAGGAACCAAATCAATCCTGGGCACCAGTGTGGCCTTTTGTCACCCCAACGCCTCAAGAGTGGAAGGGAGATGAGAGGGTGAAGCACACACAACGTGGACAGGGCAGGGAACGTTCTGATGGGAGCCACGTTCTTTAAACTCTTCAAAACTAAAGGATGTGCGACTCGAAGAGAAAGAGAAAGTCTCCGTGGGAAGGAAGGATCACCCCCAGCCAGGTCACCCGACCCCTCGACGCATGGATAACTTCGGTTGGTTCTAAGGGAATGCCGGGGGAACACGCAGGTTCAGGCCTGGCAGTGGCCTGCAGCTGACACCCCTGGGGGGGGGGCGGGGTGTAGGAAAAAGGGTCGAAAGAGATAAAGGGGCAGTTACCTCCAAGGTCAAAGTTCCCGTGATTTTTCCTTTGAGGATGCGGTGGATCACCTGACATGAACTCGGAATGCCTGCAAAAGAAAACGACAAAAACCTTGGTGGCTCTGGGTCAGGCAGGAGGGGAAGCGGGGGAAAGCGAGAGGCCGGGGCTGCGGGGAAACTGCTCCGCGGCAGACCAGCCCTACCAACAAGTCTCTGCGAGTCCGTGGTGCCGCTCCTAGCTTCCAGGACAAAATGAGATGATAAACACTGGGAAGCGGGGAGGGGGGAGGGCATGGCGAGAGCATATAAAAGGAGGAGGCATTACTATCGTTGCTAAAATAATTACAGGCATCTGGGATTTTACGCTTGTTCTCTAACGGGAAATTCTGGGGACAGAAAATGTCACTCAACCCTGCTCTGCGCGTTTGGGCTGGAGAGAGGCGGGGTAGCAGCCAAGACGCTTGCTTTCCCGAGATGAGCCAGTGTCCTGAGATGCTGGGGCCGAGGCGGGTCTGCCCTCACTCAGCCCCCACCGTCCTGCCACCCCAAACCCTGGCCCCAGACCTCCGCTCCATCCCCAGCTGTGCCATTTTGTTGCTATGAGACGTGAGGAAGCTCCTGTCATTTCTCTGAGCCTTACTTTCCGCATCACACAGGGAGGATACTGAACAGTCGCCTGCCTGCCTTCTCAGGGCCGTGTCAGCATCCACACAGGAGCTGAGCACTCCCCCATATTTGGGTTGGGCCCTTGGGCCTCTTGGACAGACTGGGAGCTGCCCTTTGGGGAAGGGGCTCCTCTGCTCTGGGTACCCCCTAACACCCAAGCAGTCAGGCTCAGCCAGCCTGCAGCTCCGGAGCCCAGCAGGGGCCTGTTACTCCCAGACTGGGCAGCAGGGGGCCTCTTCATGCAATGACCCAAGATGACCTCTGGGTGGTGCCCCTGACCACTGGGCGCCATTCCCCTCAGCCTTCCAAGGAGTCTTGGCGTGGACGGGCAGGTGTGCGTTCACCTGCGCTGTTCCTTCTGATCCCCCAAAGCATTCTTTCACCCTTTCACAGCCCACCTAACTCCAATCTTGAGAAGGGGCCCCTCCATTTCAAGGATGTGGAATCTGAGGCCCCAACAGCTGCCTGGGTCTGAAAAAACAGCACATCAGGAGACCCGAGTCCAGGGCCCTACCCCTACCGCTGGTTCTCAGATCCCAGTTTTCTTCTGTTTCAGAATCTTTTTCCAATAAAATCTTCAGCAAAAATTGCGCATAAAACTTGACAGCTGAGCAGTTCTGGCAGGAGCAGGAGTAAGAAGCCCGCCTTGCCTCCCTGCACCCAGAGAGCTCAGCTTTGGGGCAGCACCTGTTGGGGCCCAGAACCCAGGTGTCAAGAGGCGGCTTTGCAAGGAGCAGGCAGATGCCCAAAAACTGGGGCGAGATAGAACAAACAGAGCTGGAGGGCACGGAGGCCTGGCTGCCCCCTCACCACACCGCGCGGGGGTCCTGGAGGCCGGACAGCTGCTGTGCCTGAAGTCCTCAGGGCCAGACGGAGGGAGTCTTACCTTCCTCCAGCATGAAGGGCTGAGTCAGAGGCGCGATGGCCCAGAAGTCATCGCTGTCCAGGCTGCGCAGGGGCTGCACCGGATGGTGGCCAACGGGCGAAAATCAATGAACGTGACCACAGCCCAGGCGTCTGCGTGGCCCACCACCCAGCACCTGGCCGGAGGGAGGGAGACGGAAAGGAGGGTTGTTCCACCTGGTCCTGGACTAACAGGGCTTCAAGGTCAAGGCTAAGAGGAGCAGCGTTCCCTTTGCTTTTCCTCGTCCTTGGGTGAGGAAGGGATGATAATCAGAGATCTCGAGAGAGCAGGCAGAAGGAGAGAACCCAGAGTCCAGAGGCGGGAAGGAGGGGCCCCGCCCAGCACACACCTGCTCCAGGCCCGCCCACAGTCGCCCAGGTGATGCTCTGCCAGGCCGCAGGTCCCGTGCCGCGCGGTGGAGTGGTGCGGGTAGGGCTGCTGCTGTTTGGCCATAGCCAGGGCGCCGAACGGCATCTGCATGTTTTCCTGCAAGGTCTGGAGGTGCCACAACAGCTCACTGCCTGCATCACGCCACACCTATCTCTGCAGGTGTCACCCGTCGCATCAGCACCGCTCATCTGCCCCAAGGGAACCAAAAGTAGGATGAGGTGGGAGAGAGAAGGAGAGGGAAGCTAGGTCATCCTGGATGCCACCTCTGATGGCGCCGTCACCACGCTCACCCCAGGAAGGCTGGGTGAGAAGGCACCACACCACGAGGGCCACCAACAAGCCCGTACCTCCATGACATGCATGGCCCAGAAGAACGGCGTCTGCGGGACGATTCTGGTCACCAGCAGCCCCACCTCCGCACCAATGTTACCGATAGTGACCAGCCAGCTCAGGTCTCAGAAGCATTCCCTCAGAAGCAGCACCAGGAAGGATCCCCTGGGGGACGAGCAGCAGAACGCAGAACGGGGTGACTGAGTGAACGATGCGACCAACCTCTGTCCTGGAGGCCCAGGCAGGAGAGCCACCCTGAGCAGGAGGGTCAGGCCTCCAGGTGGGGACGAGACATGTGCACAGCGCAGAGCGAAGGCAGCACGATGCCAGGGGTGCCGGGGTGGGAGAGTTGGGAAGGGGGAGTCCCCAAAACACAGACACCCCAGGGGAGAGATGGGCCAGAGCCCTCGCTGGGCCGATCGAGCGTGCCGAGCACTTCGAGAACCTCCACATGATGTGAGTGTGGGCTGTCCCCAGCCCAGGACGCCTTTCCAATCCCCCAGTCACTCCTCCCTGCATCTTACATGTGCCAAACTTCACGCACCCGCTCCAAGAACTCTGTCACCTAAGTCACACGAGGCCAGCAAGGCGAGCCTGCTGCCCTGGAAAAACAAAACCCCCTCCTCCTGTAACATCTGAACTCAGGTCATTCTGGTGCCCCTGCCATGAAGGGTGGTGTCCACTGCCAAAGCACAGTGTGTGGACATGATGACCTGGCGTCCAGGGTGGGGGACAGTCACAGGCCTTTGCTATACAACAATGGAAGCACTTTCTTAGGTGACCGTGGGTCACAGCCGCCAAGCCTGCATCTGGCACAAAAGTTCCTGAAACCTTCACTCCCACACTGGTACTACCCCGGCCCCCACCCTCTAGGGACTGTCCCCATGTGCTCTGGTGGCCTCACCACACCTCCGCTAACCTCATTTCCATGGGAACTGCAAAGAAGGCTGTCCTGTGTGTCTCTGGCTCTCAGGTGTCACTGGGAGCTTTAGGGATGAGCCGTGTACATGCTGGAAAGCAGAGGGGTGAGTCTTGGAGGCACCAGAGCTGTCCCTGGAGGACTGTGCCCCCTGTCCCCCCCCCCCAGGCCCTGGCTCCAACCTCAGATCCTCAGGGAGGGAGAGTGTGCTGGGTAAGGGTCATCAGCCAAGAAAGCATCCTAGAAGAACAGCAAAAGATTGTCCCCACACTGAGGGGTCAACAGGGGACAAAGCTGTAAGGGAGGCTGGGAGAATTAAGTCAGGAGATGCAAAGACACGCCCTGGGGACAGATGGCAGCTCGGGGCCTCACCAGTGATGCTGGCCAATCCTGGACCGGAAGCCTTCTCCAGAGCCTGGGAGAAAAAGGAACGGGGTCACTCAGGCACAGCGGGGCTGCTTTTGTTGATTTACAAGCTGAGTCACTCCAGGTGGAGCTGGAGACAGAGTGTCAACAGCCCCTGTGCTGACACAGGCTTTAGCTGACTTGGGGACACCCACCTTCTTTCTCCCTTCTTACCGGGATCCTGAGCAAACCAAAGAAATGATGCTCAGAAACGGGGGGGGGGCGCAGGGGTGCTGTGTCAGGACTACAGCCCCAGAAGCCCAGGACTGCTCAGCCTGACAGGGGGTCTCTGCTGGCACTTCTTGGAGGAAGAGGTGCAAATGGTTACTCTGGGCGCAGGGCTGTGTGGAGGCATGAAGGTGTGGCACCAGCTCCTCACTACAGCCCTGCAGCCCCCCAGCCACGCTGGCTTCCCTCTGCCTGTTCTCACAGGGAAAACCCTCAACCCTGGTTAGAGGCCCGCTCCACCCGCCCTCTGTGACCGCCACCCGCTCTGGAAACACGTCTGGCCACCACTCCCATGTGGAGACACACACACACACACACACACGCGCGCGCGCGGTCCCACCACAGGCTCTAGTAAGTTTCCTCTCCTCCCCGAATGGACTGCTTCACGGTGCCCTCAGACCCACCGCGCCCCCGCCCACCTCTGCTGGCGAACTTGCCTCTCCCTCAGGGGAAAACGGATTCAGGGGCACAGGGGTCCCTCATCTTCTCGCCACCCAAACCGCCAGACTCCCCCACACCACCCCCTGCGCCATCCCTGCTGTCACCTTGGCCACCGTGTACCTGCTCTAGTGGCTCCAGGTCTCACACCGTCTCCTCTCGTCAAGGCCAGCAGCCCTGCGGTTGGTCACGCCCTCTTCCGCCTCCTCTGGTACCTCCCCGCCCCCGTTGCCGAGCCCCCAGGTTCTCCCTTCCGGGTTGACGTGTGGTGTTCCACCTGCTCCCTCTTTCCAAGAACGCTTCTCCGGACATTGCGCACAGCTGGTTTTCTCTCTCTCACTGGCTGGCCCTTTAAATGAGCTCAACCAGTAAGTGCTGGCACACTTCGGGACCTGGTCCTCTCCTCCCCGGACCCCAGTTCCACGGTCACCTCCACTTCCGTGGCTTCAGGAGTCAACAGTACACGGCAGACTCCCAACTCCACACCTCCAACCCGGATCGCTCTCTGGAATTCAATTCAGATACGGAGGGGCCCACGTGACAGGACAGCTACGCGATCACCAGGTCACGTGTCTAAAGTAGAGCCTCCCAGCTTCCTTGATTTTCCTAAATTACGTTCATACCTACCTAGTGGCTCAGGCCAAGTTCCTCCCTCTCCCCAGCTCCTCACGTCCAACTCATCAGCAAGCCACGCCACGTCTTCCTCCCAACACACCAGAAACCATGTACCCCTCTCTCTATATCCTCCAGCCCAGTCCTAACTATTGCCACCTCTCACCAGGACCATAGCAACAGTGTCCAAAGAGTGCCTGCTGTCACACTGGCCCCATATCCAGTCGCCACCCGGCAGACACGATCTCTTACAGACAAAAACCAGGTCACATCACTCCCGATTAAAACCCTCCAACGCCTTCCCATTGTGGTTCCAGACCAAACCCAGTCTCCACTTTGGCTGCCACGAGCTGACCTCCTTACCACCGGGCTCCTCTCTGCCCACTCCTGCTCCCACCTCATCACACCTCGGGGCATCGGCAGGTGCCCGTGGCTTGGAACAGTCTTGTCTTCGCAGGATGCGCTCTGATGTGTCACTTCCTCACAGGGGTAGCTCCCTCAGAAGCAGCGAAAGAAGAGACCTCTCACTCTTCATCACATCACCTTATTTTAATTCTCTGCCTGGCACTTATTATCTGGCATTTTCTTCTTAATTGGATTACTGTATGTCTCTACCCACTGGAATATAAGCATCATGAGAATAAGAATCATATTGGTCTTTTGACAATTACTTCAATCACTGAGGAAACCTCAGGGCCTAGAATGCTGCCAGTCAACATACGTTGAATGACTGGATGGATGGGATAGATAAGTGGATGAGTGGAAGGAAGGGAGAGAGGGAGGGAGAAATGACCTGGGGTAAATTATGTCCTCTCTAAGCCTTGGTTTCCTCTTCTGTACCACCAATCCATTTGCAATGATGTGAAGATTTAGCTGAGCTCGCATCTGTCCAGGACAGGACACGCAGTAGGTGCCTGGTAAGTGGGGGCAGGATGAGTGACTTCCTCCCATCATTAAATGAGTCCACGCAGCACCGATCAGAATGGAGCCTGCAGAGTGGGCCCTCCACCGGCGGGCTACCTGCCCTGGGCAGCCCATGAGACTCAAAGCAAATCCCCACTGAAACCCTCTGCCCCACCCCCGCGTCCCTACAACAAAGCAAAGTGACAGCGCAAACAGCTGTCAACTGTCCTCTCGCCAAGCGCAGAACGCGCCTTTTTATTTAGACTCTCCTAAGACAGTTCTAAATACCAACCCGAGGACCAGTTATCAGCAGCAGTTTCAAGCTAAAAATTGTTATGAATACAGAGACATTTTAAACCACTCTTGGCCCAATTATTATTCCCTAATGATTGGAGAGATAAATATAACAAGCCCGTTTTGACAGTCTGTGAAATGAAGTTTCAGAGGAAAAGCTACATAATTATCAACCACCCACCACAGCAGGGCCGTCGTCACCCAAAGACAAACCTGAAATTTCAGGATGTGTGTGGAGCCCAGAAGTGGCCACCTGGACGCCACAGATATCAAAGCAGCATCCCAGAGTCTGCCAAAGGGCCGATTTTAATTAAGTTCTGTTGTTGCCACAGCACAGTGGCCCTCGCGCCCAAATCAACCACCAGCTCTGTCCGGGGACCCTGCTGCCAGCTGGTCAAGTGTTATAAGAGGTAGCCCGCTCCAGAATTACGCTGGTGAGGCTGGGCCGTGGGAAAGAAGACAGAGGGAACAGAAGGGGCAGCGGCCAGAGGCTTTGGGATGGAGGGGGTCCAGCGGTTCCCGCACACACATCTGGGAGACGCTTTCGTGGGTGCGGGCCTCATGTCACACTCAGACCAGCGGCCACTTCCCCGCCCAAAGCCTCCGAGCAACTCGCCGCCACACCCCTGGACCGCGGCTGGTCACTGTGGGCGTGGGCCGCCTCTTTTTAAGGCCCCTGACCCTCCTCAGGGAGCTGCCACCTGAAGGACACACCTGGCAAGGTTTCCAGGGCTAACCCTCAATGGCTTCCCTCTCATCCAAGTTACACCCCTCACACGTCTGTGTGTCACACACGGAGTGACAAAGACCAAGGACGCAGACCCTGTTCTCAAGGAGCCCACATGTAGTTGCCCCACCAATATTTACAAAATTTGTACGTTCCCGGGGCGGCCAGTTAGATCAGATGGTTAGAGCGCAGGCTTGTAACACCAAGGTTGCCGGTTCGAGCCCCCCATGGGCCATTGTGAGCTGTGTCCTCCACAACTAGATTGAAACAACTACTCAACTTGGAGCTGATGGGTCCTGGAAAAACACACTGTTCCCCAATACATACATACATACATACATACATACATACATACATACATAAATAAAATAAAATATGTCCGTTCCAGACATTGCCACTACGATTTAGTAAACAGCTATACCGCTGGGGGCCCTCAGAGCCATGAAGAAAAATAAGGCAAGGAGAGGGGATGAAGTGTGAGGGGTGGGGTGGGGGGTGACAGCTGAACGGAGACGTGAATGGAGTGAGAAAAGCAAAGCCCCAGACAGGCTGGGAGGAGAGCCTCCGGGTTGAAGACAGCAGACCCGAGGCCACAGTGGGGATGTGTCCGGCATGTCTGTGGAGTAGCACTGGGGCTGGAGTGACAAGCCTCCTCCATTCTTACCCAGACCCCCCCAAGTCAGGTCTTCCTGCTTCTACTCTGGCCCCTGGAGAGTGTCCTACAGGGTCCCTTTAAAACTTAAATCTCAGGTGGCCGGTTGGCTCAGGTGGTTGGAGCGCGGGCTCATGGCGCCAAGGTTGCTGGCTTGATCCCCACGTGGGCCGGTGAGCTGTGCCCTCCACAACTAGAGTGAGGACAGCTACTTGACTTGGAGCTGATGGCTCCTGGAAAAACACACTGTACCCTAATAAAATTTTTAAAAAATCAAAACTTAAATCTCAGGTCGGCCAAGTGGCTCAGTTGGTTAGGAGCATGAGCTCTGAGCAACAGGGTCACCGGTTCAATTACCACATGGGCCAGTGACGCTGCGCCTGAGCTGAGCCGTCACTGCCTACAGGTGGCTGGATGGCTCAGCTGGTTTAACAACAAGATTGCCTGTTCGATGGTGGGCTACACCCACCCGCAACTAAGACTGAACTCAGCACCTTGAGCTGAGCTGCCACCTGGATGGCTCAGTGGATAGAGCGTGCGCTCTTAACAAGGTTGCTGGTTCAACTCCCGCATGGGATGGTGGCTATGCCCACCCACAACTAAGAGTGAACACAGCACCTTGAGCTGAGCTGCCGCCCAGATGGCTCAGTGGATAGAGCTTGCGCTCTTAACAACAAGGCTGCTGGTTTGACTCCCCCATGGGATGGTGGCTAAGCCCGCCCACAACTAAGATTGAACACAGCACCTTGAACTTAGAGGCCATGAGCTGCTGACGGGCAGCCAGATGGCGACTGGTGCCCTCCACAACGAAGACTGAGAACAACAACTTGGCTGGTCCCCTTCCCCAATTCCCCAACACTGTTCCTCCCCTAATTCCCCAATAAAATCTTAAAAAAAAAAAAAAAGATTATACAGACGGCAACGGGCCCATGAAAAGATGTTCAATATCGTTAGCATTAGGGAAATGCAAATTAATACCACACTATCACTATACACCTATCAGAATGGCTAAAATAAATAACAGTGACAGCATCAAATGCTGGAGGGGATGCCTTCGAACCCCTCAGACATTTCTAGCAGGGATATAAAATAGTAGAGCCATTCTGGAAACAGTTTGGCTCTTTCTTTAACAAGTTAACATGCAACAATCATACCA